GCATATAACGAGGAAGGAGGGCTTGGAAAATCTGATACCCATAGGAGAGATTGAAAGCAAGAGGAACAGAGGTAAACAAAACGTAACATAATTAATGAACTTGATTAAATGAATGGCGAACAAGGTTTAAGAAAGATAATAAAAAGACAAAATTTATTTAGAGAAGCAAAAGATAGGAAATTGTGGAGAACCATGATCACCTACGTACTGAAGAGACATGGCAAAAATGAAATTCAGCCAAGCACTACCCCACTTATAGTTGACGTCATCTAACTGGAGTGAGAAGCAGACCCGTATAAGGGAAAAGGCTGAGGAAGAAGCAGTATAAATCTGTATTAGGTGCCGCAAAATTTATCCCACTTTAAAAAAATACGATTCAATATCAAACATTGACAAAGACTGCAAGAAAAGTGGAAAACGTTTAATATAAAACGACAGATAAATAGGTAGATAGATAGATATGAACAGATAGATAAATAAATAGAAAGAAACAAAAAATAAATAGACAGATATGGACAAATGAAGATAGATATGAACAGGTAGACAGATATGAATGACAGACAGATAGATATGAACAGATTAACATAGATAGATATTAGCAGATACACAGATAGATATGGACCGACAGACATACATACAGACAGATAGATAGATAGATAGATAGATAAGAAAAGACAGATTAATAGATAGATAGCTATGAACAGATAGATAGATAGATAGATATGAACAGAAGAGACTGCGATAGATAGATAGATAGATAGATAGATAGATAGATAGATAGATAGATAGATAGATATGAATAGAACGGACTGCGATAGATAGATACGAACAAACAGACAGGCAGATAGATATGAACAGACAAACAGACAGATAGACAGACAGATAAATAGATATATAGACAGATAGATATGAACAGACAAACAGACAGAAAGATAGATAGATAGATAGATAGATAGATAGATATGAACAGACAAACAGACAGACAGACAGATAGATAGATAGATAGATAGATAGATATGAACAGACAGACAAATAGATAGAGAGATAGATAGATAGATATGAACAGACAAACAGACAGACAGACAGATATATAGATAGATAGATAGATAGATAGATAGATAGATAGAGAGAGAGAGAGATAGAGAGATAGATATGAACAGACAAACAGACAGACAGATAGATAGATAGATAGATAGATAGATATGGAGAGAAAGGCGTAAAATAAATCAATATAATAAAGAAATTAACAAAGATCGATTTCTCAATAGATAGATTACCAATAAACCCGATTCAGATGCGCTCAAGATAGAAGGACGTCCACATTTTTTTGTTTGTTTGTTAAGGAGAAAATGAAGAGCACTTGTCATCCATAATTGACCGTCATGGTAACACCTTGAGTGTTTTTCTCTATTTGCTGCGAGCTTCTGCATTCTTTCTTTGGCTAATCTCGGAAACCAGTCTGCCGACATTCATCACCTCCCCTCCCGCCCGACCGCCCCTCCCGAGCCCTGATATAAAAATTGATTTTCCTTCCTTTTCCAACTCACCCGTTACAGTCTAATCAAGTACAGCCTGGCTCTTCACTTATTTCTGCTATAGATGTCAGTTTTTGTGCCGCTTGGTAAACTTTTTCGACTGTAAGATGATAGGAATTGCTGAGGTCGGGGAGAGAAAGAGAGAGAGATACAGAGAGAGAGAGAGAGAAATGTGGGGAACAGTGAGAGACTAAGAAAGAGAGAGAGAGGGGGAGGGAGAGAGGGGGTGAGAAACAACAATTGAATAAATATAGGCGAGGAGGAAACAGCGAGTGAGTAAGCATGGGGAGAGAAGGAACAACGAGAGAGTAATTATGGAGAGAGAGAGAGAGAGAGAGAGAGAGAGAGAGAAACAGGATATATATATATATATATATATATATATACACAGGGAGAGAGAGAGAGAGTAAGAAAGGGAAAATACGAGAGAGTAAGTGCAAAATGACTTAGATACTTGTATAAAAAGACAAATATATATACATAGATAGGGAGAGTGAGAGAGGTAGTTCAGAATGCAAGTATACAAGAGAGAGAGAGAGAGAGAGAGAGAGAATGGCGAGGGAGTAAGTATGAAGACAGATAAAGAGGGCGGAGAGAGATGAAGCATAAACTAAAAGAGCGGAAAAGAAAGAAAGAGAAAGCAAGAGAGAAAGAGATAGAGAGTAAGAGAGAGGTGAAAAAGACATGGAGAGAGAGACAGAGACAGAGAGCTAGAGAAAAGTGCAAACGTACGCTAAAACCCCCTTATATTGCAAAAATAGGAATCGTTCACAGACTTCGTTAAGAAAAGTTTGAGGTTTATAAAGCCGTTGACTTCTTTTATTCTTTTTTCTTTTCAATTTTTGGGTTAATTTTTAAGAACGCCATGAGTCAAAATGGGCGGGAAAATGAGTGATAATGAACGTCGAGAAGTACAAAATAGAAAAAAATACTTTTTTGTGTGCACCTTTTGCACTGTTTCGCATTCAATCGAATCGGTCTTTGATATTGGAAACGTTTTTCGATTAAAATGCATTTTAACATTAAAATATCGAAGTCTTTAGTCGAGTCAAGAGACCGCCTGCTTTGTATAAGGATTCAATATAGAACGAGATCTGGAGAGGGAAAGAGGGAGAGAGGGAGGGAAAATCTATTAAAATGTCGGCCAAAACATTCAAGTTAAAAAGAAACGAAAAAAGGACCATTATCTATCTATCTATCTATCTATCTATCTATCTATCTATCTATCTATCTATCTATCTATCTATCTATCTATATTGGTTTGTTCCTATCTATCTATCTATCTATCTATCTATCTATCTATCTTGGTATGTTCCTATCTATCTATCTATCTATCTATCTATCTATCTATCTATCTATTTTGGTTTGTTCCTATCTATCTGTATATATCTCCGTGTCTATCTATCTATCTATCTATCTATCTATCTATCTATCGTCAAGTATTTTCGTCTGGTCATGTCATTACTTATATCACTGGCACTGGAGATTTATTCATTTATTTAAAGACTCACACTGAAAAACTTGACATAAGTAAATTAGAATTAACTCATTCACCATAAAATATCAGATTATAAAAACTAAAATCAAAACGCGGTATTAATTATAGATTCCTAAAACATCTGGTATTAATTATAGGCTTATTAAACTCTAATATTAATTATAGGTTTATACTTATAACTTTTATTAAAAGAATAATGGATATTTATAGATAAATATAAGATTACTAGAAATAATCGTGAAAATTTAACTTACATTTGAATTTTCTGATGAATCTTAATTCTTCGGTTAATGACTGAATAACTTATGGCGATTTTTAAGACAATAAAATATCCGTAGAAAATGTCCTTTTGCATTGTTAAATATTTGAGCTTGACAAATTTAACTTAATATTACAATAACATAAATATGAATGCTGGTCGTTATTTTAAGAAGTAAGGGGGTACAAATGAAAAGATTTGAAATTGATAACCATTTTCCATTTAACTGAAACAGACGTTAAACACTTCTTTCTTTCTCTTGTCTAAAAAGACCGACTAACCTTTTCTACACATTGAAATATGGACTAGTCCATCCGCTACGGGAAGAACGTCTGCTCATGGAACAGTTGCCGAAATGTGGGCCTTAAAGCCGTGGCCCTTTCCACTCGGGACGCTTGCCATACCGAATTACTTTATTTTCAATCCATCTTCTCATGTGATTAAACTCTTATTCACTCAGCCTTTTGTTTCTAGTGTTTTCCTCACAGTCTCAATAACAAGCAACTATGAGCGTCATACAAACTATATAACAATTTCTTTCTTTCTTTTTTCTTTCTTTATTTTATCATGAAACCAAGTAGCGTCTCTAATATGTGTTTCCACGCGATCAAAACGAAATAGTTCATCATTTATAAGGTGTTGGCAGGACGTAAAGGTCGTGCTAACTAAGAGAAGGACAAGCAGAATAATGATAAGATACTGGACAGAAAATGGATTTTTCTTCCTCTATATGTGTCCTGTCCCCTCGGGGCGTATGTGATCATGGCTCTCCACAATTTCCATCCCTTTGTAGCTCTTATTAAATTTTGTCTTTTTCAGATTTTTCCTAAAACCCTGTTCCGCCATCTCTCAAGCTTACTAAGTATGGTATGCGCTGTTTTACTGCTATGAAAAATGATCTCAATTCAATTACACCAAATTAATATAACTACATAACTATATTTAAAGGCGCGATCAAATGAAAAACAAAAAAATTACAAAGTTCATCCGTCCATTCAACTACCATCCTGGGTTACAATAATCTTCAGAATCTGTCGTCTTTTTGATTAACAGACACAGTTTCTGCACGCCATGTTTTTTTCCTGCATCAGGTGACTTAACCAACCACAGCTAAAGAGCCAAATTTGTCTGGTGGAGAACAGACGAGTTCATTCCTTTCCCAAGGATATTTATACGGAAATGAATATAACGAACTTGACAGGAATTCGAACTCAGCTCGCCGATTGCTTGTTCCGAGCCACGAATCATTTGAACTATTTGCACATCAAAAATGATAGCATGTAAACTATTATTAATAAATTAATATTAATAAACTGACATTAATAAACTAGAATTAATAAACTGATATTGATAAACTAGTATTTAAAAACTAGTATTAATAAACTAGTATTAATAAACTAGAATTAATTAAGTGATATTGATAAACTAGTATTAATAAACTGATATTAATAAACTAGTATTTGAAAAACAAGTAATATAAAGTGATATTGATAAACTAGTATTAATAAAACTGATATTAATAAACTAGTATTTAAAATCTAGTCTTAATAAAACTAATATTAATAAGCTAGTATTAATAAAGTGATATTAATAAAGTAGTATTTAAAAACTAGTATTAATAAACTAGTATTAATAAACTGATATCAATAAACTAGTATAAATAAACTTGTATTTAAAAACTAGTATTAATAAACCGATATTAAAAAACTAACATAAATAAACTGATATTAATAAACTACTATAACTAAATAAGTATACTAAATATTAATATAAGATTCTGTGGGACCTAAAGTTAGGTATTAACTTTATATTTAAATTATGTAAATTGTTCTACCTCCAAACTAAGTGATGACTGACATATTAGTAGTCGATCGTCTTTATGCAAATTAGGGCATATTCAATTTTGTCTCTATCACTAAAATAATAAAATGATCTATCCAAGAATTATTATATTTTAATTTTGTTGGTAAAAGTATATTCTTCGTTACCCTGTCACCTTCAGCCGCCAACCAGGGGAGGTAACAAGTTTCGGTGGCTAAAGCGGTACTGCCACCCCTGGCGTCACCACCAATTTTTGCTGCCGCGCTGTTTTGCACACGTGTCAGTCTCTTGCGATACGTATATAAATTAAATATATTAAATTAAGTATATTAAATGACTAACATGTTAAAACCTCATAGTAAGGATTTAATAGATTCAGTTGTTTTTTTACGGTATTAATAAACTAGTATTAAGATTAGATTTTACCGAATGAATTGGGATCAAATATGGATTAAAACCAGACAGAATTATAGGATAAAGAACAAGAAAGAAAGGCTTATAAATTTTAAATGTGGCGGAGAAAAGAAAATTCTGTTTGTGGGTTAATTAAATTTTAAGACCGAGTGGTCAGAACGTTCGCATTCTGACAATGAGATCTGGGTTCGAATCTCACCATTGTCGATTTGTCAGGAAGGAGACTTTCTGATTATATCGGTTTGGAGGGGGCGGTCCCAGTGTGCGGCACTTTTGGAAAGTGCCAGAAAACAATACCACGGGTTGGTTGACCCAAGCTTTGAAATTGGGTAGACGGAACCCTTGGGTGTCTTCGATAGCTGTGCTAACACGAAGTCATAAGTCATCGTGGTCGAGAGCTTGAGCGTGCTGGCCTTGTTCAAATTGTTGATTACGCTAGATAACACGCTCTTTCCCAGAAACTGTAACTAAGGTCTGCTCAGCATAGTTGCAGTATAAACCACAGGTGGGCTCTGTGGGTGTTGAATAAACACAAATGCGCCTGGGCAAGCGTCTGCAGTAGGGATTGGCTTGTCGCCTTAGTAGAGAGGTATTCTTGAATACTGGTGGCTAGCTATACTATACTAAAGCCGAAAAATTTGGGATTGTAAGAATAATTATTGTTTTTGCAAGTGAATGTGGCATTAACAATGTTTTGATAATAACAATTATCTTTTTAGATACAAGTCCTATTATTTAACCCATAGCTGAGGGAAATGGAGTCATACCTTTCCCAAGAGTATTTGTGTGTAAGTAAATGTTGAATTCGAACTAACTTCTACGATTTCTCATTCCGAACAGCTATCCATTGCACCACCCGCACATCCTTATTACACGTAAGTATAGTAACTGGAGATATACTTTAAAAACTCACGCATGAATAATTTCTAGTAACAGTAAGAACATAAAATATGGCGTCATTTTTTATGATATGCATAAACTATAAGAATACACACAATGTAAGACCCGAAAGCCGCTGAAAGTAGAGGTTTGTTTTTTAATCATTTCGCCCTAAGCAAGGCGAGAATACCATTAGTAAGCAGGGGGTTACAGGGAGTGAAAGAAAAAGAGAAGACTGAGAATAGGGAGGATTGAGGAAAGGACAAAAGATGAACGGGAATGCCACTAGTACGCAGGGGGTTACAGGGATGGAAAGTGAGAAAGAAGACTGAGAATAGGGAGGATTGAGGAAAGGACAAAAGATGAAAGGGAATGCAACTAGTACGCAGGGGGTTACAGGGAGTGAAAGTGAGAGAGAAGACTGAGAATAGGGAGGATTGAGGAAAGTACAAAAGATGAAAGGGAATGCCACTAGTACGCAGGGGTTACAGGGAGTGAAAGAGAAAGAGAATACTGAGAATAGGGCGGATTGAGGAAAGGACAAAAGATGAACGGGAATGCCACTAGTACGCAGGGGGTTACAGGGAGTGAAAGAGAAAGAGGTGACCGAGAATAGGGAGGATTGAAGAAAGGACAAAAGATGAACGGGAATGCCACTAGTACGCAGGGGGTTACAGGGATAGAAAGTGAAAGAGAAGACTGAAAATAGGGGAGGATTGAGGAAAGGACAAAAGATGAAGGGGAATGCCACTAGTACGCAGGGGGTTACAGGGATGGAAAGTGAAGAGAAGACTGAGAAATAGGGAGGATTGAGGAAAGGACAAAAGATGAAGGGGAATGCCACTAGTACGCAGGGGGTTACAGGGAATGAAAGAGAAAGAGGAGAGTGAGAATAGGGAGGATTGAGGAAAGGACAAAAGATGAACGGGAATGCCACTAGTACGCAGGGGTTACAGGGAATGAAAGAGAAAGAGGAGAGGAGAATAGGGAGGATTGAGGAAAGGACAAAGATGAACAGGAATGCCACTAGTACGCAGGGGTTACAGGGATGGAAAGTGAAAGAGGAGACTGAGAATAGGGAGGATTGAGGAAAG